TGAGTTTTCCCGTGGCCTTCCCGGAGCTTTCCCTGTGTCCAGAGCTTTCCCCGTAACCCTTTCCCAGAGCTTTCCTTCTGCTCCAGAGGTTTCCCCGTGTTCCTGTCCTGGAGCTTTCCCTGCCCCGGGGAGTTTGGGATTTCCTTTGGGATTCTCTCTGTCCTTGCCTTGGCCCTGGTGCCGCGGGGGAACCCTGAGGGGGCTGGAGGGAAGAGGGAGGAAGGAAGCGAAGGAAAGGGAAGTAAGGAAGGTTGGTTTACTTATCTAGAAATATTGAGCTGTTTGGCAGAAATGTTCAGGTCTCCTTTTCCCCCACACACTTGTAGCATAAAAATCCTCTTCATACACCAGAATTCACTTTGTGGCCTGTTTTTAATGCTGGAAAACTGGATGTAAACAACATATCCCTGCAGGAATGGCAGCAGAGTGGTGAATCTTGTCTGGGACTCACTTCCACCATCTCTTTGTAAGCTGTGAAATGCTAGATCCTTGGAAGGATCCTGATTATTTGTCTATTTATTTCTCTATCTCTGTGGCAGGGACAGGAAGGAGAAGCAAATCTACAGTTGGGATGTGGAAATATCTGCAGGATTTGGGGTATTTTTGGTGGAGAATTTAGTGATATTTGTGTAGGCAGGAGCTGTGCTAATATTTCCTTTGGACTATGGAAAGTGTCATCCCAAAAATCAGTGCTGCTTGGAAATGAATCTATGTGATGATTGTATTGAGTAATACAATAAGGGTTTCGTGTGAACTTCCAGGGAAGAACAACTAAGGTTAACAAATACATCTCCAGTTTCATTGCAGAACTGACTTTGGATTTGTCCAAAGTACCTTGGAGAAGGCTGAGGGTGGAGGCAACAAAGGTGTGTGCCAAGTAAACGGAGAACCAGGAAAATTGAGGCTCAACAACTTCTCTTTTGCTGTTTGGAAGCTCAGGGTGATGTTGTGTTTAGCTTTCCCAGAGCAGCTGTGGCTGCTCCATCCCTGGGAGTGTTCCAGGCCAGGCTGGATGGGGCTTGGAGCAGCCTGGGCTGGTGGGAAGTGTCCCTGCCCAGGGCAGGGTGGGATGGGATGATCTCTAAGATCCCTCCAACACTGCCACAGTGTGGAACACGGACACAGCTGCTCTGGGCAACCTGTGCCAGTGCCTCAACACCTCACAGGGACCGATTCCTGCCCAATATCCAATCTAACCCTCTCTCTGTCAGTGGGAAGCCATTCCCTGTGTCCTGTCCCTCCAGCCCTTGTTAGTAGTCTCTCTCCATCTCTTCTGGAGTTCCTTCAGGCACTGAAGGTCACAGTGAGGTCACCCCAAGCTTCTCCAGGCTGAACAATCCCAGCTCTTTCCTCCTTTCCTCACACCAGAGCTGCTCCATCCTCTGGTCTCATTTGCCTTGAAGTCATCGTGTCCTTTCTGCCCCAGGACCCTGTGGCACTGTGCAGGGAGCAGCTCTGGACTGAGCTCTTGCTATGTGGTAGGAAACTTCTCCTTCACTAAAGCAGTTCATGTGTTCAGGGTTGTCCTTGCTGCATATAGTTCAGCTGGACTCATTTTCCCAAGCAATAACCTAATTGCCTGTGCTAATTAGGGCCCTTGAGCAGAGCAGTATTTAGGTCAGCTTTTCTTCCCTGTCCTTTTGTGCTCCTGTCTCCTGTTCTGGCACTTCCCAGTTCCTGCACATCCTCCTTCCAGGCTCACACCAGGTCAGCCTCGGGCCCATGTGGATGTTCTCCCTCAACCTCCCAAACCATTCTGGTCATCCTGGGCCACCAGGAAAGGCAAGAGGCTGCCAGAATTCCCGTGGAGTCTGTCAGAGGTCCTGGTTTGAACTGGTTGGATTGAGAGTGAGCAGCTGGGATTGTCTGTGGTTGTTGTGTGTCTGGGGAAGGAGCAGGGAGCATTCCCATGGATGGGAGAGGTTATCCCCAAGGAACTCTCCATGTTCTCTGTCACTTGCTGCTGTTGGAGCTGTGGGAGGGGGGAAGGGTCAGCTGTGGGGTGTGAGGGTGAATCCTGTGTTGCTCTCCTGCACGTCCCCTGCTGCTCAGTGCTGGAACCTCTGAGCTGATGCTCTGAAGGTGCAGCAGTTGTGTGCAGAGGATTTTGTGGACAGAACATCCTGACTGGGATGAGTAACTCCTCTCCATCACACAACTAGTGCCTTGGATCTGGACACACTGGAAACCTCTTTCTCATGTTCCTGTAGCAGCGAAACTCTTTATTTGTCTGTTTTAAATCAGTCCTGCTCTGCTCCTGAGGTCTCACCTTGGCCATCAGTGCCTTCTCTTCCCTCCGCCACGGCTGCCCATCCCACTTTCCATTCAGCAGTTCCTTCTGGGATTTGTTCTAACACCTGGAATGGAACTTGGCTGTTCCCACCTGACCCAGTCATTGTCACTGAATGTTCTTCATCTTCCTGGAGAGGAAGATCTTGAAGCTTTGGGGAGAAGTTGGAGCTCAGGTTAGTACTCGGAAGAGGAGGATGATATCTCCAAGGATCTCTTCCTGCATTCCCTTCACCATCAGTGATTATCCATCCCTCTTGGCAGGGTTACACCATTCCCTGGGGACAGCTGGAGTCTGAGGATCAGTTCCACACTGCCTGCCTAATAGCTGTAGAAAAATATGTTTAAACAGATGTTATCATGTTGTTTTTCTTTCCCATTAGGAAGTTCTTTCTGGAGTTGTGGTCATAACAAGCAAGGACACAGTGCAGCACCAAGGGATCTCCCTGACCATGGAGGGATCCGTGAATCTGCAGCTCAGTGCCAAAAGTGTGGGAGTGTTTGAGGCTTTCTACAACTCTGTCAAGGTAAGACCTGCTCAGGTTAGCATTTTCGCATAGCAGGGACACCTCCCACCAGCCCAGGCTGCTCCAAGCCCCATCCAGCCTGGCCTGGAACACTCCCAGGGATGGAGCAGCCACAGCTGCTCTGGGCAACCTGTGCCAGTGCCTCAGCACCTCACAGGGAGCAATTCCTGCCCAATCTCCATCTTTCCCGGCCCCCTGGCGGGGGGAAGCCATTCCCTGTGTCCTGTCCCTCCATCCTTTGTCCCAGGCCCCTCTCCAGCTCTCCTGGAGCCCCTTGAGGCACTGGAAGGGGCTCTAAGGGCTCTCTGGAGCCTTTTCATCTCTAGGCTGAACATCCCCAGCTCTCTCAGCCCCCACAGCAGATGAGCCCTGTGATCAGCTTAGCTGCCTCCTCTGGCCTTGCTCCAACAGCTCCACATCTTCCACGTATTAGGAGCTCCAGAGCTGGGAAAAACAGTAATAAAAGTGCAGAGAGTAAAGAAGTATCACTCCAAGCCACTTCCTCCCCAGTGGAACCAGTGTCAACCAGTGTCCCAGCGACAGACCTGCCCTAAGCACAGACCTTCAGGGGAGGAGCAGGAGGTGATGTTT